AGGAGCACATATCTTCACCTTCTTTCTCTCCATCGTCCTATCCCTCATCCCTAAACTGCGTGTTGACCTTTGTAGTACCGCCTCCAGGCTGTATGCTTTAACCTTTCCAGTGAGATAGAGGGGGCCCCTGCACTGGGAATACAAGATAAATCACAACCGCTGTCTGTTAATGCGATGTACGACAACACACACCAGCATGTACACACTGCTGAAACCTTTGTCCTGTGTCCTCCCCCCCCCCAAAAAAAAACCCCAACACACTCACGCACATGAACATCCCTTTATATAGATGTGCCCAGCATTGGTGCACTGCGTTGTCAGTAATACGAGTGCACCCTGAATTATTCATCCTTTATTTAAATGAGGGATGATAGCCAGGAGTGTGTTTTTTAGGTATCCTTTCTTCTTGTTTGAGTAAAACACAGGGGTCATTAGGAGTCATTTCTGGTCAATTTTGTATGATCAACCATGCTCCAGAGAAAGACAGAAAGGGAGAGAGAGAGAGAGAGAAAATCCCATTTACTTTCTGTGCATTGGGAATTCATGTTGAGAGAGATCAAAGGGGACAGACAAAGAGATGAGAGAATCGACATCTTCTCGTCTCCATTTGGCTCCCTGTGAGAGGAGGAAAATTACTTTAAAGCTGCTGCCTTGATGAAAGAAAAGGGCGTTATGCCTGATGTATTCCTCTAGAGGTGGAATCAACAGTATGAATGACTCAAAGGGAGAGAGAGAGAGCAGTGGAGAGAGAGGGGACATTTGTTTGAGAGAACCTAATGGGGGATTTTGGTGAGGGGCGAGAGTGCTGTTTGACAGAAGTGAACAAAACAGCAATTCTACTGTCAGAAATGACTGCCTCTCTGCACTGTTATTTCCGGTGTGTGCATTACCAAAAACATGGGAACGCTAAAACCACAGCTTTTGGCCGACCACCACAGTGGGGTTTAATTCCATCTAAAGTGGTTTGCAGACACAGATGCCAGTATGTCCATGGGAAAGCCAAAGTACCAGTTTTCTCTTATTGATAAATCTGATTGCATGAAGTGTCTTTTAAGGTCATCCATTGGGTTGTGATCAGCTGACAAGCCTTGCATAAAAACTAAACTAAATTTGTCATATTTATTTAATGTCACATTTTTCTTTCCACATATATTCCCTGTCCCCTTGGTCAATTTAATATGGTTTTAACACTAGATAATGTAAGTGCAAACACTAATGCATGCCTCGGTAAGTGCATGCATTCGTAAGTAGTGTGGGTTATTTTAATGGCAGTAAGGTTTGTATTTTTAGCTTCAGTTTTTCATCCGGCCAGGTTACGTTAAAATTAGCTAATTTTGTCAACCTCAGAAGGACATCAGAAGTCATCGTCTATAGCAGGTTGAGTGTTAAACCAAATAAAAATCTTGACAGTTTTGTAGATATAAAAGCTACATGGTAAGAAGTCCATACCTTATTTAGACAGACCGTGTCAGGAATCAGGGATTTACTTTGGTAACAAAGTGACATTAAATAAGTGACTTCTTGGGTCTGAGTTTGAAAAAAGTGTTTTTCTTCTCTGACTTTTTCACTATTTTGCAACAAACTTTATATTTGTATTCATATCAAATTTACAAAGTATATAAAATGGCAGTTTCAGTTAGTTTTCACATAATTTACTCAGGATTTTTTAGTTGATAAAATAAGTCCCACTCAGGACTGCAACATATGGCCTCAGATGTTATAGATAAGGATAACTTCAGGGATATTTCTAGATCAAAGTGTCTCATGTGTGTGCTTCTGTTACATTAGTGATCAATCAACAGAGGTCATTACATACTGAGCTCATCTGCAGAATCAGTTTGTGTTTTTTTCTTTACACAGAGCACCAGCAACATCTGAAAATGTAATATTGTGTCACATTCAGAAACAACCTTGTTTTTCACAGGAGAAATTTGAAAAAAAAAAAAAAGGTCTTGTAAATTGAAATAGCCTCCAAACATACAATTTGGTCCTCTCACCCTTATTCAACCAGCTCTGTCATTTTTTTTTTTTTGACAGAGCTGTCAAAGCCAAAGCGTCCTAGTTATACGTAAAGCAAATAGAAATGAAAACATTGTCAGTGAAAAGACTCATGGGGTAACGGAGACGCCAGGAGCAGGGTGAATCACTTAGCAAGCTGTGCTCCTCCATTCTGCAGCTGCCACCCACCACAACACATCTGCCACTGGGAAGAAAAAAAAAAAACACAGCAGATAGACACAAAAAAATCACATCCTAATAAATAGCAACACGACACAAAAGATCACTTCTTCAAATTGAAATTCATTTGCAGGGGTAACAGGGTTCTTTCTCCCCGGGTACATACGTGACTGTAGAAACCCACATACAGGTGCAGACTGAACATAAAAATGCACATGCTCACATGCAAGTACAAATAGTTCCAGTAAGACCGTTAGCTTTCTTCACATGGGGCCGATGCTTGTTCCAATACCTCCCCCGTGCTATCTCTGGGCAGACACATGCCACTGCTGGGCGAGGTCCTAATGCGTACCAAATCACCACTTTTCAACCAGCAACGCCCACCCGGCTCAGCTCCTTCACTGCACCCTGCTTTTATTACATTTCCCCAGGATTTCATATTATACACGCTGAACTCCACAGAAAGGAGTCGAAGCTCATTTTTTTCAACCTGAATGGCAACAGAAGGGGAATCATCTACCCCGGGCTGAATGTTGCACCAAAAAAAAAAAAACTGCTGCTAGCTTTGTTGATATATGAGCCACATGGTAACAAATCATTAAATGATTTACACACACGGTGCCAGGAATCACTGACTTGCCTCAGGGAGGATGAATAAAATGATGATGAATTATTTACTTTTTGTTTTAAAGCAACATGTATGTTTGGAGTTTGAACTTCTTTAAAATAACAAAACAGAAACACAATTTTGCCCAAACTTGTTATTTTCATATTTGCACAATAAGTAGCCTAGTTACTCATTTGCCTCTTAGAGTTCAAGTTAGTTATCTCACATTTTGCTCAGATTACATTTTTTGACATGAAATTATATTTCCAAGTGTATCTGGATGATTTGCAGTGATTAGCATGTTCATAGTTAATTGCAGTCAGCAGCTTTTCTAGGCATGACAAGTAGCCTACAGTTAGCATATTCTGAATGTTTACGGTGCGTAATATGTATAAAAACCTGTGTTATTGTACATTCAATTTTCTGGAGAATACTAGAAGTAAAGATTTCACACCCATGCTAATGCTAGCACACTATCATGCTAGCCCTGACATTGCTTACACATTTATCAGGTTTAATTTTCCACCAAACTAACCACCTCAGTTTAGCATGTTAGCATGCTAACATTCACTGATTAGCAATTACCGCTCAGTACAGCTGGAGTCGATGGGGGAATTGAGTAGATTTGAGGATTGAGTTGACCCTATGAGTACTTCAAATCTGACCTTAAGTTTTGACAAAAGTTTTCCTGATGTGGATATGATTATTTAAGATACATTTCACATGTTAACCTGATGTTGGGTGTAGTTATTAAACAAAAAGTCAGAACAATATTAAAGTTGGATTCAACCTCTGGGAAACGTGAATATTACAACAAAATGTATTTTAAATTGATCCAATAGTTGTTGAACATTTCAGTGTGATATAACTGTTGGATGACCAACTTGTTTGATGTTGCCATTAGGAGAATGAATAAATGAATAAATGTTTTTTAACAATAGCAGCACAGAAATGTTTGTTTTATGGTCAACAGAGCCAATTAAATACATGAAAGTCCCATTGCACACTGCATGGTGCGACTGTAAGTACATGTAATGTTTTCATTAAGTAGTCCTGACCAGTGATTTATGTTTGACATAATGATCTAACACAGTCAGGAATAATAAGGGAATAAAAACAACTATTTAAGCTCTATGGCAAATTCCTAGACTGCAGACACACTCCTATAACATCTCTTGTCACATCTTTCTTTCAACCTGCTCTGCTCTATGTAATGACTTTACAAGTACATGTTCTGCTACTTGTTTAAAAGAAAAATCAAAGTGGACTTACATGAATCTTAATGGGGATTCTGAATTATTAAAAACCATTGGGAAATGAGCAGAGGAATACATTTCCTCCTTCACAGAACCTTCCTTGGCAGGTGCTATTAGCCTACAATATCTGTATGACGAACCAAAGTCACATTCAGAAAGCAATTTTCTGTCCACAACGCAATCTCGACCATTAATTGCCTAATGAACAAGATGTTATCCAAGGATACCTTTCCAATGAGCACTTAGGAAAAGGAGGAAGAGGTTTTAATATGATGGAAATAAGTGTGACAGACTAAACGGTCCCCGCTGAACGCATTGACGCAGACTCTGACCTTGCCTGTCAATCTGGAGGGCAGACAGGGTGGCCGTTTGTGTTGTGGCGGCAGAAACGGTTTTCATCATTACTCCCAGAAAATCTTGTCAGAAGCCGAGGGCTGTCTGACCGCCCGCCGCAGCCTGTGGGGGGGGAAATAACAATAAACAATGAAAAATCAGAGAGGCAGAAGGCGTGGAACAGTCTGGGGTGCTTTTTGTCAGGCCGTGCAGCCCTCTGGGTATCATTTTGAATGCTATATACTTACGGTCATCTGGATTTTGTGTTCTCAGAGGTGCAGTTTTGAAAATCTGTGGTCAGAGAAAGCCATACACACCCTGGCACACAGCCAGGTGGATACTGAGCAGGCCAGTCAGAAGAAAAAAAAAAAGAGCTGCTCAACAAGCTTACAATGTTGATTTGATTAACATTTTACCAATTACCTAATGCATTTCTTTTGATAACACAAATCAAGTCTATGGGCGGTTAATCAATTAGAAGAGGCTGACATTTCAGAAAATTGCAAGACATAATGCTCATCATTATGCTTGATGGTTTCACTCTGAATTCCCATAATGCATCCTGTGCTGCGTTCATTTGGTACCAAAAGACCGTAAAAAGTTGCGTGAATAATATCCAGTCAAAGTACAATTATGACATTTTTAATGACATTATTTGTAAAACCTTGCATCAATGTTGAATTCCATGAGCTCGTATTTGTTTTCCCGACAGGACAGCAAATCCTTTGGAGGCGTTTCAAAGAAATGTTTCCAGGTATTCAATCACTTCAGCTGGCACCACGAGATACAGATGCGAGGAAATGACAAGCAGCATTGGTAGAAGGCCAATGAGTTTCAGGATTATGTCTTCTTCCCTGTCAATTATCATAATGCGGTCGCCTCAAATGAGTCATTAACTTTCCATTTGTGTACAGCAGAGATGTCATCACTAGCTTTGGCCGGGGTGTGGGTGTTTGTTATCTCTGAATTCCCAGGATTAACAGGTTGAAAGATGATTGGGTTTGTGTGGGGAGTGAGGGGAAGTGAAGATGTTGCCTACCAAGTTTGCTTGTCATTTAACAACATAAACAGAGATAACGGAGAGAACGTGTCGTGGGGCCAAATGTGATCGTGTTGATTTAAGATGAAGAACACATCTGGAGACAATTAGAGGATAAATGTTCAAGTCCCCTGGAGGAAACAGGAGTGAAACACCTGCGCATGACCAAAGGTGAGACACTTATGATGCGAACATACATTAAGAGTCTCATAACTGCCGAGCATTCCCACGTACTGCATCTGAACTCTTCACATACATTCACAAGTTGCCCATCATTGAGGTTAAAATGAGTCCCTAACGCTTGGAACAAAAGTTTAGAAAACAATGTTGTAACTTTGTAGCTGTCGAGGAGCTCTTAATTACATTTCATGAGTTTCCTAGTTGGACTGGTGAGAGTTTTAAATTTTAATACGCTCTCTTCCCTGTTGGCTAAACATTTGGAACGTGAAGATAACATTTTAAACTGAGCATATTCCATTAGCCATCAAGTGAAAGGGGATATTTTAAATTTCAAAGCAGCCATAAAAAAAAAGTTGTGTTGATAGTTTTCCTCTCCACAGCTTAGTATCATTTTCTTCTACTCTTATTAAGTTCCATTAATAAAAAATAATATTTCAGCGTTGTAGGATTGTTTCAACTATGAGAATTGACTTATTTCTAGCCTCGTATTATAGAATCCATAAATGCAAATGACTCTGGAACTGTTCCGTTGAATTTCCAATTTCCAAAAGTCGTAATCAATGGGCGCAGACGAAAAAAAAGAAGCCTTTTTTGGACGCTACAACCAATCACAGCAAAGAACACATGCTTCTAGGCTAGGTAGCTGGAGCCAACATTTTAATGATACAGCACCCAATTCAACATAATGTGAGGAAGTTTGATTCAAGGATATTCTTTGCCTTTATTTTAGATCACACAGTGGATAGAGTAGAGAGAGAGAGAGAGAGAGAGAGAGAGGGTGAGTGAGAGAGAGAGAGAGAGTGGGGAGAGACATGTGGGAAATGCAGGTCGGACTTGAACCCAGCCGCACGCTTGGTGGACTATACCTCCGTACATGGGGCGGGACATAGGCTGTCTGTTCCCCGGCATATTTTTGATTTAAAGGAAACACATCGTGGTTAAATGTAAGATTAGAAACGATTTAACACTGAGTGGATACTTTAATATTTGAGAACCTTCAACATTGGTGGGAGCCTTCGTCATTGTTTATGGAAATGAGTCAACAACTCTCAAACCGTGATAAACGTGATAACAGATAAAGGTTTCTTATTGGTCGACATGAGCCAGGTCAGGTGGAAATCAGTCTGGAGTGAGAAACCAGACATATCAGCCAAATCATTTAAAAATGAGCTTGCAGACTCATCTTGTGCCCGGGCTTACTTGTTTCATAATTTTCCAGCATTGAGTCACATTTGACATCTGTAAGTGCAATTCTTTTACTTTATTATGTCTAAATCTTCAGGACTTGATAATAGTCAAAGCCTACACTGTTCCCTGGAAACTTTAGCTATATTCATCTTCAACAAAGCAACATTTCCTAGCTTTACTACATCTATCATAGTGACTCATCATGGCTACTTGTTGTCAGAATGACTTTGCTGAAAGGACTGTTCCAGTTTTAAGAATGAGTCACTACCTTTCCTTCATTGAGCACCGCTAAAATGTTTACAGTTTATTTGCCCTTACCCACTAAAAATAACCCATCACATTGTCCCCAGATAGCACGCACAGCTGGCCCCACGATACCCACCGACAAAAGACTGAGTCTCTGAACGATGAGAGATGATGATCCCTACACAGCAGAGTTTGAAGCCCGATCGCCAACGCGTGACAGAGTTTGAGGGCTGAGTTGGTATCTGCTACATATTTTGTCCACAGGAGGGGGCTACCATGATACAAAGTACTACAAAACTTCTTGTTCTTGTACAAAAACAAACATTTTTGTAGAAATCCTGCATTTTAAACAACAACTGATACAGAGTGAAAACTGCAGACAGCGTATGAGGGCGGACATGAATAAGGACTTTGACAGTTTACAGGCCTGGTAGAAAGTTCTTAGCGATGGAAGAACTTTGGCACGAGAAAGGCGTTACAGAAGAGAATGATGAGCATTTGACAAGGTCAGCATAGATGATTTCAAACTAAACATCACTTTATACATCAGTTCATAGTAAACCATTTGGCACTGACTACCGTTCCCTTTCATGGTGTGAGATTATCATTTTAAAATCATTTGAAAGAAACTCAAGCCACTGAAGGGAGGGGGGGGGAGGGGGGCAGATGGGGTCACACACACATGGAGGTAAGACAAAAGGGCTTTGACATCAACAGAAAAACTACATCAGGTGTTACTGTCACAATAAGAGTTTGCCCCGTCTGCACAGGTGTCACATGTCTGTGTGTGTATGTGTGCATATAGGTGTGTGTTATGTGTGTGTTTAAGTCCACTTCTAGTGTGGACTACATTTACCTTTTGTCCCCAAAAACCTTCTTTATCTCCTCTTTTCAATGAACACACTTTTCAGTCCTTTCCTTCCTTTCCAGCTCCCTTCTAGTGAACGTCACAGTGAGGTGACACTGCTCAGGTATCTATATTTCCACAGGAAACATCTGTCTACATAAGCGAGTGGGTTCAAAAGAATCCTGTTTGGACTGCTAACCTCAGTCTGCCGTTGAGTCAGCATTGATTCGAACCCCCGCGGGCCCCTCAGCGGTTTGAATCGAGGGCGCACTTTCTTTCAGGGGTTTTTCCCAGTGTTCATGCCATGGTTTCCTTCCCTGGGAGTCTCCTGTCGTTGAACGTGTGCATGTTAATGACCTCCTCCGTCTTGACGATGACGGGCGGCTGAGGCTTCTGTTTGAGGCGGCGTTGGCACTTCAGAGAGACGCGCAGCTCGTCCATCATGGCGCTGCAGAATGATCGCTGCGGGAAGAAAACCGGAAAGAGGAAGAGTTACTGCTGATGCTTTACTGAGGAAGTTTTATTATTCAACGTAAGATGTATTGTTTCTCCTCTCTTTAAACATGATCTCTGTGTTTCTATCATCAAACATGACAAGTATGTGAACATCCAAACATTACCTGCATTGAACATGAAAATGATAAAAACAGCTCAAAACCAAACCAACCAAAAAAACATGATGACATACAATTCAATCACAATTACACTTCAAATGACTCCCTATGAGTCAAGTTGGAACAAAAACAGATTCTACAAATATCCCTTTGCAACTTAAAATAAAATATATATTTAGACTTTGGAAAACTGTGTTTCTAACAATGTTCTGTATTCTCTGGAGACTGTTTAGTCAATTTAAAGACTCATTTAGATCTAGATTTAGTTTTTCTTCTTGGTTTCTTTTTATATATTATTATTGATGTTATTTGTATTGTGTTTTCTACAGTCCCAAGTGTCCACTTGACTTCAGGCTGGTCTGAATACTTCATGTCTTTATCGGCCCGTACTTTACAGGCGGTGAATTTTTAAAATAATGAATCTGTTTTGATTTTATGAAGCGCATGATTTATGCATCATTATGGGTGTGACTGATCTGGCGGTGAGTGGGGCTGACAGTAGCCGTGGGTCAGGAGGCTTAAGGCCCTCCTCAGCTGCACCTCTTTGCTTGTTAGGTTCACCCATGGCAACGGCCATCAACGGGCTAGAGAAGCGCACTACAGAAACCAATGGGTGACGTCACTCAGACTACATCCGTGTCTTCAACAGTCCCTCTTTATATTGATAGTTTTCATAGCTTAAAGCATTTACTACATTTCCCAGAGTGATGTTAGAAACTTTGTTTTGTACAAGTACTTTTGTATAAGTAACCTGCACTTACATTTAGGTTGATTATCATTAGTTAATCTGTGGGATTGACAGGTCTTAATATAAACTTTGCTTTATGTCATCAGCATAGGGCTCTGAGTCTTTGTAAGCTTGAGACACTATTTCTGAATATTGTGGTCACACTTTCCTCATTAAGAGGGGCTGTTCATTAATATGTTCATCCTATTAAGACATTTATTATAATCTTTCATGCTGGTGATCTCCTCTTGTGTGTAGAACGCATACTGTATTACTGTTTTGATTGTGCCCATGACAGCTCATTGCTGAAAACACAGTCGATGTTTTATTGTCTGGCTGTTTTCTCTGTTCGTGACTAAAGCGCATCCAACTCACTGATCCAAGATCAGTAAGTGTAGAAGAAGCGCCCCTCCCTAGCCGGGTCTTTCACTCCAAACCCACGGTAATGCATCAGTTTTATTGAAACTTAGTTTTTATTTGATGTCTGCTCCAGAGCCACATTACACTTTTAACAGCAGTTTTATAAGGCCATGTAGCACTCCTCATGATGAGTTCACCGGACGGCACGTTAAACGAAAAGAATCTGTGAGTTGCCTCTGTTAAATGCAATGTGTCTGATGAAGCTATCATTGCAGGTTGAACCATCAGAAAGCTGAAAATAAGTCTTCACAATGACTTATTAACATGTGTTTCAACATTTGTGAGGCCCAGCTTCTTGTTTTAAATCCTAAACAAACTTTTCTGTAGGAAGAATCGTCCATTTAAGGTCTGATGTGTCCTAGATTTTTCCCTTCTTACAGCCTTACCGCCACACAGTGGACTGACTGCTGTTTCAAAGCCTTCTGCTGAGATCAAAGAGAATCATTCAACACTGGCAATGATTGATGCGCAAACAGAAAATGTAAAGATATTGAATAAAGGACAGAATATCCACTCCTCAGCAGATTCAATCCAAAAATATTGGTATGGTACGTTTCTTTTAAAAAACATCAATCACACTCAAACGGTGACATGCGTTATATAACTTCCATAATAAGTGCCTCTGTTGTGCCTGCATTATGTATGTGCTGTGAAATCCTATAAAACGTCAATATGCTGGTGCACTGATGTTGCCAAGCCGAATCCCCATACATCCACTTTGTGATTATGCAAAATGTAATTCTCATTCTTAGAGGGTGTAGGAGGAGAGAGGATGTAAGAGAGGAGGCAGAGCACTAAAGTACCAAGCTATTATTTCTTCTGTCTGTGTATGTGTGTGTGTGTGTGTGTGTTTGTGTGTGTGTGTGTGGGGGAGCGTAGGTGTATGAGATGGATATCTGTAGGTGGCTCATGCACCAGGTGTTTTTTTTCTTTCTCTGCATATTTGCATTTGTTTTTGTGCCGTATGAATGAGATATTTTGAACACTGGGTGAGATGAGTGATTACAGACAAAGAAAAGGGGCAGGAGGATGAGAAAGAAAGAAAGTGAAAAACAAGAAGTGGGGATATGGATTAGAGTGATGGAGAAGACGAAGAGATGAAGGGGGGTGGGGGGGCGGTGATGTGAGGGTGGTGGAGGTTGGCAGGGGAAGAAAATAGAGAAGGAGAGGCTTGTTGTCAGCATGTAAATTACTAGCACCTTGGCAGCCTAGAGACTGTGGCATTTGCAAATCATCTGAATATTGTGACCCAGCCTTGCAGCTCTTGATTAATGATAGCTACGATGTGCTCTGAAACATATGCAGACTGTGGAAAAAAAATGCCCCAAACTAATTATTATTATAATGAAGCAACACGCCGCGGCACTGTGCTAATTTTGTAGATGTAAATAATTTAAAAGAGGCCATCTAAAGGACTTTCACAATGTTCTGAAAAACATCACTGTACAAGTTAAAGAGCACTAAAATACACACGCCGTGCTGTGTGATGAATCATGTGCACTCAGTCCTAAAATAGAGTGCAGATAGAAAAGTCTGGATATTCATTCCCATGCTAGAAAGAAACATAACCAGAGGGAGAGGGGGGGAGAAAAAAAGCTGCAGCATTGTATACATGCTGAACGGATCGACATTTCAGACAAAGCTCAAGATGAAGGGATAGGTTTACATTTTCACAAGTCACTATGAACATCAGAATATTTCTTGGATGACTGAATCATTCCTGTTGTCCATACTGGCTGTGGAGAAAAAGATCCAATCCTACATAACAAAAGTAGTAGTAGTGCTGTGATGTCATCCTGTGGTTTGTCAACTGCCTTTTTGAAGCCTGGATTTTGGGCCATTTTTCCTGTCACCATGTTGTTTTTTTTCCAGAGCCGAAATATCTCCTATGTGTGTGAGTGGAGGGACTTAAAGGTGAGCAAATGTTATCAAAGTAAAAAAAAAAAAAAAAAAAAAAATTAGCCGGCATTTTGCTTGTTAACCATCTTAACCACATCTTAACATCTCAACACAAACACAGGATGTTTCCTGCCAAAATTTCATCAACATATTGACAAACACCCGAGAAGCTGACAAACAAAACACCAACACCTGCTAAAAATGACGGAGCACCGCGGGGCACGCTGAGACACAGCAACAGATATTTCGACGCAAACATAAACACACTGGACCGCCGGCCATCAAACGCACCTGTTTAACCCACTGTTGATCCATGATCCGTACGGACCGAGATGTTAACACTTCGTCTTTTTCTCCGTTCACTTTCACCGTGTGATAGCAACGTCACCCCACAGCCTGCTGTAGTCTGTGAACTTCTCCACACAGATTCTACTTAACAGCGCTGTGTTATAAACACCGACTGGGGTCTGGGCACTACTACCTTTTTAAAAAGACAAAGGCGAGCAAATTCATTTTTTTTATTATTTCTCGATTTCCTGATCTGATGAAAAGATCCAATCCGTGACTTAAATCTGTGATTTGATTCAGCAGAACATAATACCTTATTAACTAAATTAAATGTACTGTAACAAATGTGTGTGTGACACAATTTATTATTTTGGCCTGTAAAAAATATGCTTGGCCGGTCAATTTTTTCATCTAACCCCGTCTTGGCCGGTGAGTCAAAAAGGTAATTTCTGACCCTGCCAACATGTATATAAAAGAATGCTATATTTTCCCTCACGGCCTATTGAATAAATAAACCTCACAACATGTAAAAACATCAACTTCTGTAGAGACGTTGTGTACAGATGATTTAGCCAAAGACACCGACATTTTATTCTAGCAGGCAGAAAACGTTTCAACTGGCAATTGCAACATTTAGCCCTAAAGAATTGACTTGTATTTGGAACAAGCCCCAACAAGCTGTGTGAGGAACTGCAGTTATTGTCCCTTCCAAGTGATCTAATTTCTCACCCTCTGAGGTTGCCCCTTAAACCTGATAGGATTTCAAGAGATGGGGAAAAAACACAGTCCCTCTCCCATGCAAATATTGTACATTTGAGAAGAGGATGATTTGAGGTTTTTAGCAGTCTGAGCTGGACGAGTGACCTGCATTATCTATCGAACACAGTCATTTTGGAACAATTCTTATGATCCCTCCACTGTAGCTCAGCAAGGAAACACTGTCCAAGTGTATTAATTAAATATCTTGACTTATAAGAAATTAAATTAGTTTTGGCTCACTCATATTAGCTTCAGCTGAGGGCATCTTTTCACAGCCAGTACAGACACAAAGAACAATTACAGCAATGAATAGCACGTGCATTCTGCTTTGTGGGGATTGTTTAAGAGGTGAAAAAAAAAAACCTTATTGCTGAGTGCATAACCATGGAACAAGAGCTGGTAAAGACCCAACAAATATCACATACAGATATCAGTAATATAGTGCTTATGTTGTATCTTATTACATATTAAGTATGGTTCAGTTTCTAGTTTGCCTTTAAAATGAAGAAGAAACCAGGACATGAACATGTGAAAACTGTTGAAAAACCAGAAACAGATATCAGCGTAAAAGGAAGTCTTTACTTGTTTTATCATGCATCAGAAAACAACAGCAGTACCTTCTCTAGCTGGGCGTTCTGTTTGGACTTGTACAGGACCTCCCCCACCGCCACAAACACTGACAGCACCAGTCCTGCAGCCAGCACGATGAAGATGCCGCCGATGTTCTGCACCCCCAGAGCGCTGGCCTCTTTGCTCTCCTCCTCGGGGCAGCCGTTCCCTCTCCACCACTTCTCCTTCATCATGTGCAGCTTCCCTTCCTCCTGCAGCTGCAGAATGGCTATTGTGATCTTGTCTCTGTACGGAGAGCCTGCAGGGAGAAGAAACACAACAGGACACGAGTGAGGAGGGATAATAGCCAGAAATGAAAAAAAATCTGATTACGCCTCGCAAAGTGGTTGTGGAGTGGGTATATATATAACCCGTGTTGGTGGGTGTATGAAACACGCTCTGTTCAGCACGCAATCATCTAACATGTCATGTCAATGCTGGCTGCTTAGAGGGCGTTTTTTTCGTAAGTGTTCAAATCCCACTAATCCCTATATTCACAGAGTAATTCTTAAATACTCACTCCTCTCAGCAGTGTGTGAATTAAAGTGCACAGGGAGTTGGCAACAAAGACTGGGCTTTTTTGTGTGGAGCTGCTGTTAGTTCTCATGAATTAGCTGGTGTGTGAAGACACTTTCATGTGCCATGTATTGTGTGAAGAAACCTAAAAACAACCCAGAGGGGTGTTCAAATACATGTGTGGTTCGGAAAAAAAATCCTGTGCATATAGGATGGAGTTTGTCAGAATTGCCTTTAAATGGCACGACAAGTAAGAAAAACCGAAATACTGGTACCTGCTGTTAGTTTTGACGAAGTAGCTGCCGTTTGTGGAAGCGTTCACACGTTGCAAATGTTAGGAAAAGCTGCAGGAACAGGGGAACCCAGAGGGATGAGGAAATCGTTAAATGATGCGTATTAACAGGTAAATCTGGGATCTCAGTGTGTGTGTGTGTGTGTGTGTGTGTGTGTGTGTAGGATAGGGTTGCTCTGTCTAGTTTGTAATTCATGCTTTTCATGGCATGATGAGTAAAAAGGACCCAAATCCAAACCATATATTGTAGTTGGGAGATGCTGTTGGTTCTGACAAGTTATAAGGACGTTTCTGACACTTTGTCGTTCACATTCAATGTTGCCCCAGTGGGATGTGAGCCTACGTTTAATATGTGATTAGGATAAAACTGTATGTGCGTATCATAGGGAAACACTCTGTTGTGTTTTCATGCATTTTAATGGCATGTTTAGTAAAAGGAGAGGCCACTTTCAAACAACATAAATTGTGCGATAAACAGAAGGAAAATCAGGTCAACCCAATGGGCTGTATGCTTACATTACATGTGTTTACCTGAGTTGGATTGCTCTTCTTCTGTGTGCGTGTACATTTAAATGGCATGATTATTCAAAGGGACCAACGTTAAACGTGCTTTCATATCTTATAAATGGCATAACAGGGAAAACAAGGGAGCCCAATAGGGTGTGTATGACATGCCTGGTTGGGATTACATACGTGTGTTTATGAGATATGGTTGCTCTTTCTTGTGTGTTTTATACAATTTAATGTCATAAGTTAAAGGACCCAACTCCAGAAACTGGGGTGGCGACAGAATCAGCGACAAGGCATTAAGGCGCAGCGGGATCAAAGGAGGAGTAATCGTTTCAGAGCACCAGACTGAGGTCGTGTTCCTCTCCCCATTCCACAGCGTGTGCGACACAACATGAGGACAGTGCGTACACTGTGTCCAAAGCACGCCAATGAAGATTAATACTCACAGTGAGCATTCATGTTTCATTTATAAACTGCTTTAAAAGCTTGTTAGAGTATTTATGTGATTAAAGAGCCAATGCATTCTGAAGCCTGCTTTCCATTTGAGGCATTTTGGCTCATTTGCTTATTCGGAGTGTCTTAAAAAAAAAAAAGAAGGATGAAACAGGAGTAGAATGCTAAGTTTTGTCAGATTCAAACATGGCAGAAATCATTTTATGAACATGTTGGAACATTTTGTGCTAAAACTCTGAGGGGAGATCAACAAAACATGGCCCCAGGTAGCATCACTTTGTCTGTGTCTCTCATACAGCTTTGCCTGTCAGCCCCTTTAGTTGATTTCCTCTCTGTCTCATCTATCATTTATCTGCTGCCATCCATCATCCTTTCATCTCTATGTCTCTATGTATTTAGACTGACAAAGGGGACATTAATACGAAACCTGAAAATTACACAAAGTGCCCCCGAAATATTTTGTGAGCAGCACTTCACTGTGCGCTTCTTTGATCATAAACAGTCTTGTGCTTTTGTGAGTGTGTTCACGAGTACCTTTTCTTTGAGGAAACCAAGTACATACTTGTATCCTTTAATTCTGTGCATGAACAGCAGGAACGCAGTGCTCTGAATACACAGATGTGTACATGCCTGTGCTGCGTGCATGTGAAAAAAAAAAAGCATATGCTCGCTTCATTTGAGGGTGAGGGATCTATCAAGTGTGCGAGTCCCCTGATTCCAGCTCCCCTCATATTTCAAATGATTAATGATGGCCTAACAAAGCAGTCCTTGGATAAATGCTAATAGGATGGGTCCTCAGAGAGGAGGATATGGAGAGCGGAGCCCGGGCGGATGGTAAAACGCTGTGCTTGACACACTGCGCATACACAACTACCTGACAGATGTTCAACACCAGAGGACATCCATCACTCCCGCCCTGTCTGGACTCCAGTATTAATGTGATCGTCTGTTTTAGTCGATAGCTTTAAATGACGCATTTCCGTTTTTTGGGGAACAGGACGTGCGGAAAAAAAAACCCGACAAGCACTAAAAGGTTAAGACTTATTATGCAGCTTGATCTGGTTTATTGCTGTAACGGCCCTACTGGGAACGAGCTACTAAACGGTGTGGAGCAGGGCAAACAGTTCCAGGTCTGAATTTAACATGAAGAATAAAGTCTTCATCAGAATTAGAGGAAGGGAATCAGACAATACCACCCTACAATAATACTCTACAGCATGTTCAAGCTCTGCAGCAGTGTTTGAGTATACAGCTGTGTTCAAGCAGAGACACCTTCAACATTTAAGAGCAAAAAAATAGAACCTGTGGACGAATCTGTTTCCATTATTAATCATCAAATTTGTTAAAAGCATTTTACTACTGTAGCTGGAAAACATCAAGTCTATTTTCTATCTTGAATAGGATTGTAATTGATTGTTTTCATTAAGGAAGTATCTGCTGTTTGTCCTCTTGAAAAAAAGTGATTGACTGTTTTGTTTATTAGGTATTTATTTTATGATTTTATTAATGTCAGAATGACCTAATAGTGATATTAAGTCCAACCAGTTATACAAACCTCAAAGCTATGAAAAACAAATGAAAAGCAAAAGCAGAAAATGTGCATGATCCCTTGAAGCGTCAGATTTTCTTTGCTATTTTTACATGGAAGACACAGTTGCATTGAAGGGTCAAAATTGTTCTCAGTGAAGTTTTTAGCACAGATTTGTTTGCAAAGATCTTAATGTGTAAAAGTAATCATAGAGCTGTATTAGTAATTGAAAGGAAGATTAGTGTAGCAAAGAATGAAATGATGAAGGTACCTCAACATGTGTTATAAAGGAAATCATGTGAGTAAGATCTTCATGGATTGAGTTCACCTTCCATCTTTCTTGAAGGTTTTTTGGGGGACAAGGAAACAAGGAGGAAAAAACCACCTTCTGAGCTAATGAAATGCTGCTACTCTTCAGAGGGGTCTCTGAATGTGAAACCAGACTGTTCACTTTGAATGAATGAAGCAATCAACCATCTCAAGACCTCTTCTATCACATTAGAAAGATTTTGGCGGCTTTATTTCTGAAGTATTGCGCAATGAACATCAGAATTAGAGCCTGAAATTAGTAAGTGGGCATTAACGACTTTGAAAGGGGACATTTTTGAATCATTCTTTTTATGCATTAGGACCACTTATCGAGCTGAATCAAAGTGATTTGGGATCTATTTTGCAGTCGTATATTTGATGCAGTCTATCACCACAGGAATGGAAATAGGCCTGGAATACACTGTGGGTCTACGTGTCCATCTCAAGGGCATCAGTGGAAGAACTCCTGCACTTAGGGAGCCACAGAGGGACTATATTTCATAGCATCGCCTCTGCTTTGTTACAGCTGCGGCAATCACGGGATCCCTGCAGATCTATAACTGCCCCATACTCATCAGCAGGAGCTGCGTCCAGATGTGGCTGGCCAGAATGAAACGTCCATACTTTGATGGGCCTCATATCACTGATGATGGATGTGGAGATTACAGATGGCTGCAGTGCTCTCGGCGGCCTCGTCATAAGCGCTTTCACCTCTGTGACATTCGGGGTGGAACAATCGCCACGTTTTGCTAAATGTAGCGGTGTTAGCAGCAGGTTTTATTAACCCTGGTTAAACTTCTTACATGTCACAAATAAACCGTCAAAAAAGTCTGCCTTCAGATATGAAAGCTTTAGGATTTTTTTCATAGCATGTTAACCTTTAGTCATTTTAGTTTGTTACCTTGCAACATGAGATACCGTAGCTGACAAACCAAGAATAGCTTGAATAATAAATACCCCAAATTGTTTCGTAATGATCCCAAGAGTCGCTGGATGATTGTTTCTGTAAAAAAGAACTCCAACAAATGTAGCACATGGACGTTAAAGGAAGAATGTGCGACTTTTCCATCTAGCTGACGTCGCACCAGCTGGAGCTGCAATTGCCAGTGGGCTGCATTGTTGTGTTAGCGGGCTAGTGTTAGCACTCTTTAGTTAGCTTGTACCTTCACATTTCATAATGACTGACACAGAATGACTGTGATCTAAAAACGCTTCAAAAAAGCAGCGAGTATGTTATTCTTCTACTCCCTAGGACTTGACTAAAACAGCTTTGATACTTTTTTTTAGTTGATATATTTTATTGCTCTTATTGCTATTTTATTGTTTTTATTTCCTGTGGGAGCTTTAACTCATTTTTGTTCAACTAATTTTGTTTGTCATTTATGTATGTATTCTCGGCATCATTGCGAATGAGGGTCGCCCTCAATGATCTTAAATAAAGGTTGATGATGATACGCAAGGGGAGGAGTCGTCTGTCTCGTCCAAACCTGACGTAAACACAGCGCTGACAACAACACAGCAGGCGAGACTCGCACTTCTCACACACTTTACAGAGGATAATACTTGATTTCTGCTAAATTTATGTTAAAATTTCGCACACTCTTCCTTTGAGTAATGTGTTTAAAGTAGAAAATTTTCAAAGTGATTTTATTTGCTCACTTAACATAGAATTCTGAGATCTTTAATGTTTCAGCTTCGCTATATTATGTTTGTCATGAGCTGGGTCAAATAAACAGCTCACAAAAGTTCTTGCTGCTTGTTTTTATACTTTCTCAAGTGCTTTGTTGTTGCAGTTTTAATGGTCAGAAACAATTCACACTGTGTCAAGTAACTCACAGGGAATTGCACTGAATTGACTCTGGGCTTGCTCTCTGTGATTGCTTTGTGCTCACAATCTCACGCCTTCTGAGACTCCAAAGAAGGCTAAAACACACCATTAAAAGTATTTGTGCATGTCGGTTAACCTAGATTTGCTTCTCTACTCTGTAAATAATGCTGTGGGAAAATCATTCAAGTAAAAAAAAAAAAAAAAAAGCCACTCACACTCTTAAAGGCTACAGCTTCTGTTTCTGAAAGCATGGGCACATTTTAACCTTCTCCATAAATTCAACCTCAAGCCATTCGCTTTTCATTAAGCTAAACCTTTTACACCTCACGCTGTTGAACCATTATACCCTTGGCCCCATCAATAAAGGTCAACCCTTCCATTCCCAGAGCTTATCCATCATCCAAACTATATACGTTTATCTGTCACATAGTATCTGCAGTATCGCTCCCTGAGCTAAGAGCTTTTCAAATGTTTTTTCTTTTTCTCCAACACTGCAGGCAGCACAGCGGTTGTTTTAAAAAAAAAAAAAGAAAAGGAAAAAAAGAAAAGAGAGATGTGATGTTGTTTACCCATAGGTGTTCCCACTCCGTACGCTTTGGAGTCTATGAGGCCTCCGATCTGTGTGAGGTTGCAGTTTCTCTGGGTGACAAACTCAATGGTGGTGGACTCCATGAGGAAGGCGTAGTCGGAGGTGAGGACGCGCTGGATGCCGTCCTCGATGTTCTTCACCATCACAGACTGCCTCCTGCTGTTCATGAACTCCCACATCTTGTCATAGGTGGAGATTTTGGTTTTCTGCAAGAACCGAGAATAGATGTTGAGCGAGAACACAGCGGTATGAGGAATAGATAATGTTGTTAACTCAAAATGATGCTTCTTTTTGCACTGTTCTTAATTTGTTAATTTGTACTGGTGCGCGCATTAACCACTGCGCCACCAGGGCCCTGTATTTGAGCTATTTGATCAATTTAATAAACGTATTCAGTAACAAAAGACCTTCAACTCCTTAGCCCATCCTTTACATTCACCTGTCGCTGATTTAGAAACTACCTGAACCTTTAAGATAAATCGTTCTCCACCGATAAAAGATTCTGTTGTATTCATCCCAAAGGAGCTGTGGACATATTATACCTTTTAAAACAGTCTCCTGTGGTCTAAATGAAATATCTGTGCTGTGCTTTGGTCAAAATATAACATAAAACAAGCACCAGAGGAGGTTTGTGACCCTGTATAAACCGGTAGACATCACTCCTCTGTAGCGAGAATAAAAATGGCGCACTGAAGTATTATAACAAAGATTATAAAAAACCTTCCTCATAACATCTGTCTTTAAAGATCTGGGCAGACCAAGCTACCTTAAAGAACGTCATGGTTGCCCCGTCCTCCACCACCCCGTACAGGATCTTAGTTTGCTTGGCCAGGTCGTCGGCCGAGTCGATGGGCGACTCCATCCTCTCCACGGTGAGGAAGGCGGCCAGGTTGGCCGTGTACGAGGAGATGATGATGAGGGTGAAAAACCACCAGATACCGCCCACTATCCGAGTCGACAGGGCCTTGGGCATGAGCTCTGAGCCTGGTGTGAGGGAGGTGTTACACTGATAAATGCATTCATCTCGGCAAGTCCTCGCTACGATGTCATCTTCTCTAGGATTGTTACGTTTATTCGAGACAAGACAAAATTAGTCTTAAAAATAACACGTTTTAAGAACTCTCTCTTGAACTTCTCAGCTCAGGCAGATGTGCCACTCGTCTTACGCCGAAGTCACTTCTTGAGAGAGCTCTCAAAACGAGATGTTTGTTGGATTTCAAACAAGAGAAATGATCCCGTCTGAGCTTTAAATGACACTTGAGTTAAAAACAAAAACAAAGAAGCACTATTTAAAAGATCTTCTCTTCATATTTAATCAAAGACATTCAGTATCGAGCATTCAGAACAGAGTGGAGAAGTGACAGGCTGTTTGGGCCAGAGAGTCATGTACCCAAGGTAACCTCACATCCTGACTCCACACCCCACTGATCTCTAGGTGCTGATTGGCCAAGGGCAAGAGGAGAGGACACTGGGTATTACAGTTCTATTATAGAGACTATTTATAGACTATTAAACATGTGAATAAACTCAGCTTTGCTTTGTGAGCTGCTCTTAACATCTATATGCATTTCTTCATGTTTAATCTCTACTTCCATGTTTAAAGAACGTTTTAGATTTTTCTGTAAGTGCTGTTTAAATCTGTCTCTGTCCTACACACATATAGGTTAACTCTATGTTGCTGTGAGCTCAGCAGATCAAATTAAAAACCCATTACATGCACATTTACTCTACGTCCGCCTTTCTGGCAGTGGACCCCCAGAGATCTCTCTCCATTGCCGCTGGCCTGAATAAAACAAACCGACCCTCAGAGACAGTGGGATATAGAGAGCTCCAGCTCCACAGAGCAACAGCAGCCACAGGCGGAGGCAACTACCTTGCTGCATGAGAGCCCCAACTCCAAACCAGAAACTATTGAGCAGCGTAAAATTGTTTTCCACTACATCCGAGTCGGGGTTGCACGGATGCGGGTTGTACCACTCGTACGGGCTAAACCTGCAAAAAGGAGAGAGCACAGAGACAGACATGTCAGCACAAAACCAAAAAGAACGGATTAAACAGCACATACAAAAGGTACATTTTAAAACACAAGAGGACGGAAATGTGTAGGAATCCTGCGTTGTGGCCTCAGGGTCCGAGCTTCTGCGAAGCAAATCATCCCGGCTTTCGCAGGGATCAACTTATTGGCATATTCAAATGCCATCAGTTTATTGTGAGGACAGATCAATAGGCTGGAATAACACTGTCACAGGCGATAATGTCCCAGAGTGTGATGATCTTTTGGAGCTCATTTGGATTCACTGACTCAGGAGCCGTTATGTGATTCCCCGAGCGACTGCAATCACCGTTACTCTGTGGGTGCCACATCCTCCTCCGACCCCTGACAAGAGATTTTCGTTCTTGTTTTTTTTCTTCCTTCTGGGCTTACAAGAAGCTAACTCTCTTTTCCAAACCCTAGCCCCCCGTTTCTCTTTCCCAAACACTCTTTCCCACCTTTCCCCATCTTGCACTTCATTTCCCGCCCTCCAGATCGCCTTCCTTCCCCTCATTTCCCATCCCCTCCTGCTCGGCTTGTTGTCACTGTCTTCAGGTCAGTTGTGGACACTTCTCATTTATAATCCTAAGCAAAAGTGGCACGGCATTAGCGCAAGGTGAGTGGGTTAGCGGTAAGCATCGGGAAGTGATTGAGTTTGTGCTAAAGTGGGAGATAGAGGGAACTATATTTATGCAGAGTTGCGGGGCCCCATCAGGTGAGGCCTTCAGGGAGCTCTTTTTCCCCGGCTCGCTGAATGCTAATCAGCCCGCGGGTTATATTTATCTTAAAGGTTCAGACTACATGGAAATGTGACGCAGTTTAGAGACGCACAGGGACATATATAGACGGTGTTTCTGTTGACAAGACACACAGCGGCATTTTACAACACCGAAGCAAAATGTTGCAGAGAGGCATTTTGAGTGTCGCAGATCTCCATATAGATGTGATTTAATCCGTCTTTGCAGCGTAATTAACGGTCCTATTTCACAGGCATGCTGCAACATTTTGTCATATTGCTCTTCCTTTACAGCAATACCCCATCCTCTGAGAATCATCCAGCCTGCGTGGACATGGTTGTGATGACACACTATAATTCTTCCTGTCAACTCCATCAGGACGCCTGATTTGCTGGAATGTCAATGAGCAGGGTCTCCTTGAAACCACAACAGGCAACTGAGACGGCACAATGGCCTTGTGGAGGAGCTGTATGCCGAATGAATTCCATGATGTGTATGTGCACTCGCCTGTGTGTGTGTGTGTGTGTGTGTGTGTGTGGTTTTAATGCCTGTGTGTATGAAGCCTCTGGCGCATTGGATGTTTGCGCATGTGCCTCTATAGCTGTGTGGGTGTGCATTTGTCTGCCGTAGCTACTTTTGTATTTGCATTGGCTCAATCAAATATTTTCCCTGATGGTTTATTTATGTTGTTAGGATAATGCAGAGCGGCATGCCTGAGGGCAGAGAGTGGGTGTCATTGGATATGTGCCGTGGGTGAGGTCGTGTAAATCTTTGTAAATCTGTGTAAATCTATACGACGCACTCTTGATTGGATTGTGTTTGTCCCTCCGAGCGTCTACATGTTTCTTCTGTAGATGTGGATCCTCTGTGTGACCTTTGCCTGCAGCCGGGCCTGTATTCCTGCGGGTCGTGTTCTGCACACCGATCACCAGGAAAACAAAATAAAAAAAAGGGAGGAGGAGGTGCAACACGTGGACGTAAGGTCACCTCCTCATGCCGAGCACGAGGGACATGTCGAGCTGCACGTTGAATTTTAAAAAGATCCTTTTCTGTCCTATTCTCCTTCACCAGCCACAACAACACGACACGCTCCCTCCATTAACTGTCTGTTGGGTTCAATTACTCTGGCTGACATTGTAGATCTGCTGCCTTTCTTCTGTGTTGTTGGAGAGGGTGCTAAAATCTTGGATGTCCGGAACTTGCAACTGCCTGTAATTACATGTAAACACAATAGAATGAAATACAAATAATACCTTTTTTTCTTTTTTTTTTTTTTTACAGGTGGGCATTTTCCTCAGCGGTGATCTGATTGTGTGATCTGTGAGAATAGCTTCTGTTTCTTTTTTTTCTTTTTTTAATAAAGTGAGGAATCAATTCTACCACATACAGAGCTGGAAGAAAATGTATTTCTCAGGAGCTTGAAATGAGATGAGCTTATTTAGTTGGGAGGAGAAAAAAAGGAAAGTGCGTCCGTGGGATGCTCTTCAAAGACATGAATCCCCATTGAGATTGAGGTGTTTAGTGTTTTATTGTGCAAAACCGGGAGTTCATAAGCGCTCTCCTCTCACTCTATTTGCAGGGGGATTAAAAGGAAATAATATACTCTGCATGTAGGGGATCGTCCGGTCAATCGGTGACCGTGCAATCAATACCACAATTATGAGAGAACCGGCTCAGCCAAGTGTAGAAAACACTGGACTTCAGGTTTTAAACTTTGCTGAATACTTTGGGTTACAAGCACTATTTATTGCCACGGTGTGCAAGAAGAAGGGCACAATGCATGCACTCAGACAAGAGCATTATAATTTAATAAAAGCACTGAGGCCATTTCAGTATAACAAAAGGAATAGCCAGATAATGCATGCTAATCACTTACCCCAACCAACCGTGGAAACAAAAAAAAAAAAAGGAGGGTATACATTTGCATATTCTGGACTAACTTAGGTGACAGTTGCTGCTTTTTCTCGGATGTGATCATTTTGCCGGTAACATTTGATGAGGTGTGCATTAAACCCAAAACCTCTCAGGAATTGAAGAGGAAGAGGAAGAGGAGCCCTGGGGTTAACACACATCTTTCTGCATGTTCATGCATCGAGGGGCTTTTAGAGGGGTATTCGTAAGAACTGTTCTTGTACAATGTCAGCATTGCACTTGTACATTTCTTACAAGCTGATTAAAGGATATATAAGGGGTTGTTGGTTTTACAGTTGCTGATGCTTGCGCAAAAATGCCAGAAATAATGTGGTGAATCAGCTTGTTTTTTTTTTTTTAAACTTGATACCAGTGTTTGTCCTTGTTTCAGCTCACCTAATCTGAAGTAAAGGAGGAGATACAATCAAAGGAAAGATCTTTTCTCTGCCTTTTCTTTCTATTTTTCATATTCTTTTCAACAAAGCTGCTTTATAAAAGCAAGATAATGAGGTTCAGATTCTGGATTGATTCACAAAGAATTCTTTGTGGCGAGTTTAAGGGCTTGCAGGCAGCTCTGAAATCGGAGAATTGTTGTTTAACACGTTCAGGAGTATCTTAAGGCAACTACGACAAAAACTGAGAATTCAAAAGCTCAGGTATGCTTCAGAAAAAAGATTATCCGTCGAGTTACAGCTTAGAAAACAAGCAAAAACACTGGTTTATTCCTTTAAAGTTGAATGTGTTTATCTTAGATTTTCTTTTGTTTTACACCACTGAAGTCGTCTTAGGATAAAGAAGTATTGAATTCCTCTTTCGGGAGTGCTTTCAACCCACTTCACAGCTTGATCATTTTCTCTGAATGAGTTCCCCTCTTCAGGCCCGAGGGGAGGAAGTTACTGCTACATGTTAGTGAAAGCTGGCAAACAGGAAAGGGAGGAAGGCAGGAGGGAAGGAAGGAAGGAAGGGAGGAAGAAGGGAGGGAGAGCAAATGGGAGGGTTGACATGTTACCTGGCTATGACAAACAGCACACAACTGACACCCAAGCAAGCCAGCAGAATATACATCCAGATATCGGGCGAGAGGGGGTTGAGGAAGGAGAAGACCCCGGGGTTGGTGCCGTTGGGCTTGCGGTACAGGATACTTATCCCGAGCGTCATGAAGGGTTTGGAGAAGTCGATGACCTTCTCTCTGACGTAGGTGATGGCCAGAGGAGCCACAGCCAGGTCTGCTTTCTGTATAATGACATAATAGATGTGGAGAGGGGCAGGTGTTTCAGTCCAGCAATAAAAGACAAGCAATTCAATTAACATCTGATTTCTGTCGACAGGCAGTTTGCCCGATATGTGTGCAGAAAAGAGAGAGCTGTGACAGAGGGGAGATTAGAGCAGGGGGCACATTTGTTCAGCTAGATTTGCAGACAGGAGTCTGAGTGTTTTTCTGTAAATTACATGTGAAATGTCTGATCCTTCATCCTTCTCTACATGTGGTGTCAAAGGTGACGACAATTTTTATGACTAGATTAACCTGCGACACACACGTCCCACCTGAAAGAAAGATTAGCCGTTTAGAAGGCCTAACACTTCCTCTGAGTTTTGAATAAAGCCGTCTTCAAGAAGTATGTTTCTCGTCAGAGTCAGTCTTTCAGGCTCTTTTCCATTCAGATCTACTGTATGTTTTTCTTTTTAATGTTGCTTCTAATGAGAACTTAGGAGATGTGGTGAAAATTAAGACATTTAACTTCCTGTATGTCAACATCTCCATCTTCTCAACTTAATACAGCAAACATTTGAGTTTTAAAGAATGTTTTGTTCAAAGAAGGAGCTGTTTCATCTCGTCTCAACTTCTTTATGTAGAAGATTTTTTGGGGTGCATCGAGCAGCTCAATCTGATTGTCTTCAAAGCCAGACTGTTTGAGTTGAGAACGTTTAAAGTGCCCAACGATCTTTCCTGATCAGTGAGGTGGATCGATAACCGATATGTAAATTACATCAATATAGGACCCGATACCGATATTAGATCGGACCTGTCCCATCCCTACCTTATATACCGCAGATATGCTATCATTAGCCACCATAAGCTACTTGTCTAACCAGAGCAGTTAGGTTGTACTGCTGTGATCAATCAAGGATTATTTCAAACAGTGTATGTACACATACAAGTAAAGATTGAATTATGGAGTAATAATTGTTCCTGAGTCAACACACTTAAAAAAACGATGTCTACAGGTGCTCGGACAAATAAAGCAAAGTCAGAATAAGAGCACGATTTAAAAGAAAGGCTTAAGTGTTGGAGAATGTTTGTTTCACTGATTTTACAGATGTATGACAACTTTCATATTTTCTGCATCTCACTATAAGCAGAGCTGGTGACGGTTCACTCACATGGTCCATGAGCTCCCGCACCATGCCGTTCCATTGTCCCGTGCCCTCGTCCAGGGCTCCGTACTTCCCATCCTCCACCAGTCGCACCTCATAACGGAAACCCAGGATGCCCGAGAGCTCCCTCAGCAGGTCGATACAGTAACCCTCAAAACGGTCGTTCCCATACAGAGGCTTGTCGGACTTCTTAAACATCACATATGGCTCCTCCTGTACGACAAGGGGAATTAAAAAAAAAGGTTTAAAAGAGTGTCTGTTTTGTTTTAAGCATTTTCTTGTGTGTATGTGTTGATTGTGTATTGTCAGTTAATTTGGCTACCAGTATGGTGGATACACGCAGGGATTTATTAGCCAGAGAGTCTGTGATGTTGGACGTCTTGCTTTTGTGATTGTCCGACATGTTCAGGCCGCTGGGAGGATCCCACGTTCCAATCTGTCGAAACATTTTTGTGTCAATCAAAATCATGCTGTCTGGTCTATATCAACACATCACGACAAGCACTTTCTTATTCCTTAAGGCTCAAACTTGAAGAGGTAATTAAAGACACACCTTTTCCAACCCCTCCTCCTTCAGACTGATGACATCAAGGTCAAAGTCTGTCCTCAGGCCGTTGGTCTTATTGAAGAGAACACGTCCAGTCAAGCCATCCCAGTGCGCCTGCGGGCAGAAGCACATAGGATTATAAACTGCACCCCTCCACTCCTGATACATTCATTCCATTAACCTTAAGGTATTGTCTTTCTCAAAAATATCAATCCCTCTGCTAACCATATAACTTTTTTTCGGTCCTAACTATGAATTCCGCCCTGCTCACCCCTCGCTGTCTATCTCGACAACATAACAAGAAACAATAAAGCAGCGGGGAGAGAAGAGGGTTTGACAGGTAAGAGTTCATTATGCATGTGCTTCATTGTGCTTGAAGTTTCACTTCAAAGCTGCTGAAGGAACAGGCGGGTACGGAGAGTGATAGCGGACGCAGGTGGGGGGAGAGCGCCAACTACTACAATGGGCTCATTCTGAAAATTACCTGCAATGATACCATCCACAGAATGAAAGACCTTTGTAGAACAAAGCAAACAGCTGACCCTGACTGAAGTTAAGAAGACGCACAGAGGCTTTGATATCCACATGGGTGGAGATATGCATGCAGGAAAAGTGGGAGAAAGGGAATGAAACATCACAAAAAAACATGTATTATCGTGATTACTTTATCATGAAGATTCTTGAGAGTGTAAGGTGTGAAAAAAGACACATTTTAAGGATGTTAACATTAGTTAAAGATCACAGCAGAAAAGTGATGCGAGCAAGTTAACAGACAGCACCACGATGATTCACTCGCAAACTCTTATCTATTAAAACAAGCTCAGTCTTAATTCAGCAGATTCCAAAATCTCAAAGGTCACCATCGTGTGCACATTGAGGGCATCGATGGCCTTGTACCTCTTTGATGAGGCTGATGAAACGCCCCCCAAAGCGCCACGGCTTGTGTCGGTTACACTGCAGGGAGCTGACGGTGATCTGCTGCGACTGCTGCACCGCCACCGCCACCACGTGCACAGCGTCGTACATCAGCGCTGCATCAGTCTGCAAACAAGGTAAAAAAAAAAAAAGGGGTAATATAGTTAGACATTTTTTACAACACCCGCCAATACATATGTCCACATGACCGGCCTTTTCAACGGACAATTTGTTCACCTGCAGAGGGGGGTAAGAAAGTGCGAGCAGTCTTGGGTGACTAGCTTCAGCCGGGTACATAAATTAGGAGGAACGCCAGGCGGTAAACGCCCCGCACAAATGGCACAGTGTCTCAGCCTGTTAGTAAAAATACCCAAGCACTGTCTGAGGGAATGAGAAAGCTCCGCCAGGGAGAGTCTCTCAGTGGAAGGCCGGGCCTGTCACCGGGGGAAGACTAATGGCTCCTGATGGGTGTGCCTGCTCACAAGAGAGAAGGGATGCAAAACAGGCGCTGGTGCAGATGGGAACGACTTGAACTGGGAGACTTAGCGTAACATGATAACCACAGCACAAAGCAGAACTGGGACACACCAAGGAACTGCCTGAGTGATAGCCGCTCGTATAACCCCAAAAATAAGTCATCAAAGGGAGTAAAAGCTCAGCTGATTTTTCTCACACCGACACACTGAGATTTATCTTCACACAACACTTCCTCTCTCCTCACAGTTTGCGACTCTCCACATTTACCCAGGTCAACCCATTACGGCTTGGCTCGCATCCGCTTTCCGTGGTGAAACTCACTGTGGTGATCTTATTTGACAAGTCCTGGATGACCAACCTGCATGCCAGGGGAGTATGAAAAATAACTCTGAGAGCAGAAAGGATGTGCAGATATAAGGTCTTTGTGGATGTGCTGGGCTGTCAGGGAGAATGAACTGGACTTGGGCGCTCAGCAGGAGACCAATGAGCTGCTGTTCCGCTCGTAACAGCTCCGTATGTTGTCTCTATAGGCGCAGAGGAGCATCCCTGCCATCCATGTGGAAGAAAAAGAACCCAAAGAGGGGAAAAAAAAAAGTATCTTATATGTACAATTACTCAAACAGAAACTCATGTTGGCAGGTCAATTACAGAAATAATTCTTACTTCCAAGAGCTAGAAAACAGAAAAGTCAAGACAGAAAAGAGGGGAGGTTAGTTTATGTTGTGGCGCAGACTTTGCTGTCAGTTTTTGCTCGTCCCCCTGTTCTTTTGGAGTTGGTGACTGCTGATGTCAAAGGCAGCTGCAGATCAGAGGATGGGAGAGCCATCGCTGCTCTCTTTCATCCACACTGCGCCCCTGAGAAAGAGGACAGCCTGTGCCGTATCTGCTTCCCCATGTGCAAGCAGCGTGTGAGTGAGTAAGTGAGTAAGTGTGTGTGTGTGTTTGTGTGTTTGTGTGTACAAGTGCTGTGGCGTTCATGGCCAAAGCTGATTAGGCAAAGAGTCTGATCTATTTCTTGAATAGCAGGGAGGAGTTCTGAGCACTGCCAATATCCAAACACTATTTTCTCCACTGAAGAGCGAGTTCATCACATCCAATCATGCTATTATTCCGTTACCAACTATCCAGGAAAGACGTGATTGACTGGAGCTTCATTTTTATTTATTTTTATTTCCACAGACATATCTTCAAAAGCAGTCCAATCAGATTTGATAAAAGTTCTAAGAATCACATTCAGTCTCAGTCCACTGAATTTCTGCTTCAAAAGTTCACAATACACTTTGAATTCATTTATTCAACAAATTCACTTTTGGAGGAGACTTTGAGTTTGACTGCGACTCGGTGGAAATCATGCAATTCAAATTAAATCTGCCGTGCTGCCTTCCACTGTTTTTTATTTTAATTTGAGTTCCAAGTTTGACCTTTAATCTTTCCTCCGACGGTCCAACTCCTTTTCTCCTTCCATAATCAATCAATAACACATTCCTATTATTCTATCTGCCAACTCTTTATTCAATAGGGTCAAACTGCAGCATGCAGGCCATCTACCAACAAAGTGCTATAAATACATTTGACGGAAAAAAACTAAAACATTGACAGCTTAAGTTGAAAGTTCTGCTAGGAAGTTTATTTTTGTTTCACTTTTTTCATAATTATGGCTGAGTACAAAAACCTAGCTGTGTTACTTCAGCCTTAGCTTGACGTGTAACTACTTTGTTATGATCTATGTGTGCAGTACCTTGGACTCTGTGTGAAGATTTTGGAAAACATTTTGACTACAAGATCTATTCATTAAATATATGTTTTATAGTATAAAAACTGCTGTGAAAGCTGCTGTGTTTGCACTCTGAGGGCCAAACTACTCCCATCAGCCTCTTTGCTGGAGTGATTTATATCTATCAGCTTCTTTGACTTTACAACCAATCCAGGACATATTTCCCCCCTCTTTTAACTTTTGATTTGCTGTGATATATCAAATATTGTCGAGGCTCAAACGATTTGCATGGCAGAGATCTCCTTCCTACTTGCCTTTGGAGCAGAACAATTCCTCAAAATCCCTTTGTGATGGAAACAAAAAGAGGCTGGCATCAAGTGGAAGACAGAGAGATCAAGGAAAAGGAGGATGGGGGGGGGGAGGGTGAAAAACGTGAAATGATGGCTCACGGCTCTGGCAGATTGCATTCAATTTAAAAACAATCCAAAAGCGATCTTGATATTTATATCTGAGCCGAGCTCGGGTCCTGTGGGCTGTTTTAAGTGCTTTAAGTGAAACCAATCTGAATCCCCCAGGGACACTCAGCCTGAGAGTGGAAAGGGTTTCAAACAAGATGCCCAAAACCTTTGTTGCCTGTCTCTCTTTCTCACTGAAACACCCACATCTGAAATGCACTATCCCTTTTTGCTGCAATAAAAGTACATAAAAGTGGTAAACACACCGCCTGGTTGCTGGAGCTGGGTAACATGAATGGTAAGAGTTTTATTCGGGAGCCAAACAGCTGGTTTGGTTACAGAAGACAAAATGGATCTGTCTTCTACAGTCAGAGGTCAACAAAACAGACACGAGCACGATTTGATAGTTGATCATTACAAATACTTCACCCAGATAAGTTGCTGTAACAGCATGATATAAAGCTTGTCTAGTGTTTAGAAATACAATCTTCAATCATTTTTGGTAATTTGTTTTCATTCTGACTCACATTAACTAGCTAACCAGCTAAATTCACAACTAGTTGCTATAGCTAGCTTACTTTAATATTTGTGTTACTGTTAGCTGACGAGCCCTTTATATCTTCTGCCTTTTTAATTATTTTATTTAGTATGTGGCAGTATCTTCATGTTATTCAACTTACTGTTGTCTCACTGTACACTTTTCTCCTTATCTTTTCTGTCTTTATTTATCTGTCTAAGAGTAGTTAGCTAGCAAGCTATCTTTTGTTTCCATAAGTATTGATGCTACAACTTTACGGTTGTGTCAAACATCACACACTCATTCCCTAATAGGCACAATAAAAGAACATTCTGGATACTATTTGCTCACTCCCCGGCAGCCGACAATGACATCATTGCTGTGGCACAACTAAAACGTGCAGCTTGACGATCCACAAGCCGAAAAACAATGTCGGTCTAATTTGTTACTAAAGTTGATCAAAGTGTTGTTGGGGCTTTTTGAACTCTTTGAAGTTATTTTTAAATGTCTTGTAAATAGGGTTAGGGTTAGAGTAACGTAGAATGTATTTTAAATGAGCATACACATCGGCCTCCTTTTAAAAAGTGTTTTTAACCCAACAGTGTTTTGTAAAAGTTCTGAAGCCCTTTAATACTTGATTAATTGGTTCTTTCTCCACTTTACATATTATTTTTCAAACACTTGATGTCTTATTTCATCTCTGCATGCACTCTTTTTCGTGACTAACATAAAAAAAAATTCAAGTACACTTGCAGAAACTAATTAGGATGATGTGTACACCAGACACACACACACACACACGCACGCACGCACACACACACACACACACGCACACACACACGCACACACACACACGCACAACCGGGAACTCAATCAGACATAGTGACAAGCCTCAGCATGGAAGCTTCCCAGAGGTATGCCTCATTTGTCGTAGTTACATGCAGTTTCCTCATTTAGAACAGGTGAACTGCAGGATCCAGTGATCTACCTGCTGTGTGTACGTGTGTGTGTGTGTGTGTGTGTGTGTGTGTGTGTTTACACAAATACTCCTCTTTACTGCATCAGTATTCACACCAGCTCTCCACCTGTGCATAATTCCATAACTGCTCCGATAATGTTGCACCCTGAGAAATGGCATCTCTCTTTCTCGTCTCACCTCTATCAGTCATCCATTTCCCAGAATTCCTCAAAACACAAACACACACATTCTCACACGCGCACACACACACACACACACACACACACACACACACACACACACACTTCTTCCAGTCTGGCGATGGATTTGTACTGTGGCTCCTTGTGTACAGTGTGGAGCTCCAATGTTTATACATATCATATACATCTGATTAGCCCTAATGAGATTAGCACTGACCTGTTATTTACCATGCATCACTGGGCTGCAGCTGCCAGCTACAGAGCAACAACACACACGCTCACACGCACACATACACACACCGGCGGCATTGCCATCAGCATCAGAGTCAGAGTGTCAGCGGGGGGAGAGAGAAGCTCATTGTTTTCTTGAAGCTGCAGTCACTGTGCCCTCAGATCGCAGACAGACCCATGGGGTTTGATGATTTGATAGAACAAGGAGGTAATTATTCATTTCATCCCATACTTTATGTGTGTTTGCGCCGCTTCACTGCACTGTGGGCCAAAGATGTTAGTCAGAGAAAAAAAAACAAAACCTGCCTTTAAAAGCCTTTTGGTTTTTAGTAATTACATCTTTACTAGACCAGTAGTATTATGTGAAAGACACCCTCCATCCATCATTTAAAATTCTACTTCAATCACAATACCCAATAATTCCCCCGCTGAGTGTTTTATCTGCCATGATGAAATCCTCGTAAAGAGCAGGGAAACCAGCAGAAAATGTCAGTTCATTAAATGTAATGAATTTCATCTTTAGCTAGAAATACCTAACTTATAAGTAACCGAATACTCTGCACCAGGATGACTC